GGGAGCAGAGAAGCAAGTCGAAAAAACTCGCATAATTGAGGTTTGAGTCCACACTTGATAACATGTAAATATAATAACATTTAAACTTCATAAACCACTCAGACTCTTCATGATTGAATAGAAAAGCTTACTCTGGCATTCTTACTAATTCTCTCGATTCGCTCTTTGTTCGTTTCAGGAAGAACAAATTGTCAAAAATAACGCCCTACTTGAGCAACAAACTCAGATAGAAATTGACTTGAAAAAGGAGGTAAGTAATGAAAGGTGATTAAATCTAAAAAGGTGACATCATTCTACGGAAAAATTGTCAAAAGTAATTGCGATTTATTTCATGAACAAAACGAAGCACACATGCACTTATACTGTTAGTAGTTTTCTAACAAACGTTTAGTGCGTTTGGAAACAAAGAGAGCCAAAGACGACTTAAAAGTGCTGGAGTTTCATCCTGAAAACCCGAATCAATATCAAAATCGTTGATTCAAAGCCCAAAACGAGACGACAATCATCTTCATTAATTTTAAGTTAGGTAAAACACCTTCTTTTCGGTTTGGAATTAAGCTAACCTCTGCTAACCCGAACAAAATTAACAAATAGAAATGGTAAAACTTATGCAATGCCTATAAAACGTTTACTCAGAGGTTCAGGACTTAAACAGAAATATCAGATACAATTTTATCGCAAATGATGCAGCAAATTTTAAGTTTGGGGAATATTAATCGCAGTCATAGAAAATCGAAAAGCACGAAACAGCCAGCACATGCGCAACTAAATTTACTAAGGTCTCAGTTATCATTTTCGGTTTCACCACTGCAACGTAATATGGATCAAGGGTCTTGTAATTTGTAGGTAACTTTGTAATGCTGCGAAATATTAAAAACTAACCCTGGCCCCTTACTGAGTGAACTTGTGTACTAATGGGTTCTTTCTTAAAGCAAGAAGATCGGCAATTACAGTATGAAGAAGAAAAAGTAACATGACTCCAATTATCATAAATTGTTGACTCTTATGTGTATGCCTTGAAAGACACAGCGCGCCAGCTTAAGTATACTTCTGACGCTTGTTTTTGGTTTGCAAGATCCGGTTTTGAGGCCTCACAGAGGTCACTGTTCGTGTTTTCAAGAAATACATTATTTCTTCATAATGCACCAAATCACCTCAGAGTTATGATGGGTATCATTAATAAACCTGAGAAAATGAATGTGGATTACCGGGGGATACCGACCTCTAGCGTTAATACCAAAAGGACTGGTATCCCATCTGGGGAGAATTAGATAATTCCTTGTCGTGTTTTGTCATGGAAGCTGGAATAGAGATGTCGAAGATGTAAACCCTTTCGCTTTGGTCAAGACTTCCATAATGTAGTTGCATCTGTCGTTGTCTTGTTCTTCCATTTGGGTGGATTATTCTGTCAATTTTCAACCCATTTTAGGCCAGAAATGCACTGGCAGTGGAGTGCGCAGAAAATGAACTAAAAGTATTAAAAGATGAAGTCCGAACTCTTCATGTAAGTTTCCATGCGTTGTATGTTATTCCCAATAGGACTGATTATTTGCTCTTTGCGGGAGTTTATAGCAACAGAAACAGGATTGGCTGAGTACCAACTGATGCATAGTATGTTTGCATGACTTTCTAAGAATAGAATTAGCTTCCAAAATGATTTGATCGTGTCTTTGGCCAGCACTTTAACAGGGCTCAACACTAACGGTAGCCAACTAGCCACAGACTAGTAGAAATTCAGTTTTGGCCAGTGGTTTTCAATTTCCACCAGCCAGTTGGCTAGTAAACAAACTGAAACTGTTGATTGCAGTAGGGACAGTTGTTTCCCCGTTTTTGTTCTTTTCACAGGATCGGCTCATCCAATTGCAAAATTCTGCTCGAGACAGCCATGAATCTCAGATATCTACCCTTGAGAAACGCAGTAAAAAAGCACTGGATAAATGTACTCAGTTAGCTGAGCTAGTTGAAAAGACTGAAACAAAGGGTAAAGTATCGTTAAGAGCTTATAACAGAAAGCCCTGTGACAAATGCACCCGATACGCCCGGGAATAGGTACAGATAAAATAAAATATCGTTCCTTAACTTGTTATTTATAATTGCATCACTTAATCACTAACTGAAGGTCCTACCTTTGCAAAATTTCACATCAACTTAAACCTATTTTTCAGTCGCTGTAGCCTTCCGGCTTCATAGGAAACTGATGTACACCAACGAGCATCAAAAGTGCGTCATTCAATCATGCAGGAGGGAACTCGAATGTAAGAAGTTCGAACTTGTTGCTTTAAAAGCAGCTGTCTCACAAAAGAAAGATTCCTTATCGAGTGACATTGATAAGGAACGCAGCCGTCCAGATGCTTTGGAAAGAGAACTTCAGATGGTACGAAACCTTCTTAATGGTCAATATTCGGCAATTTTCTTACAACTTGTGTAGTGATTTTTCTGTTACACAACTTGATGTAGGAAGAGGTTGAAGTGGTTTGCTAATTCGCCATCCATCATATCAAAATTCTCTTAAGTTTGAGGACAGTTATCCTTTGTGGAGTTTAAAGGGAAATGATTTCCTGCACAGTCTCCCATTCATGATTAAACATGACATGTGACATGTCATTTTTACCCAAGAGGGATTAATGAAAGCGAGGCATTAAAAAACTATTGTTATGGTTTCAGCAAAACGGAATTTGCCGAAAATTGCAGAGCCAGCAAGAGGACTCTAGGAAAGAAAATGAGGTAACGAAGACAAGATTTTTTATGGACCTCGTCCCAATGATCAAGTGTTTTAAAAAGCAACTTTACCAACGGACCAATACTTTCCAATCACAACTGTAATATCAGTGAGTGTTTATGATAACTTAATATTTCTTTTCTTTTATTAAGAAACTAATGCTGTCACTAGAGGAAGCGCATGCACTTCTTGACCGGCATGTACAATCTATAAACAAGCATTGCGAGCTTGAAGCAGTTGCTCATCTGGAGTTGGATGAGACTAAAACAGAGTGTCGCACACTAAAGGAGTGTCTAGCCTTGAAAAAGAACAGCACGAAAAGCTTAGCTTAGAAGAGAAGTTAAAAGCTAGAGAAACAGACTGGAATGATCAGGTATATTGCATTGTGCATTATAGTCAATGGATCATTTGAATTCTTAGAAGCGTCACTTTCAGAATGAGGCCATGCCCTGCTTCTGGCACAAGGGAAATAGAATAATTTGTCATCCCCTCTTTTAAAGGATTCGTAATCTTTGTAGTGTAAGACAAACGATCGTGGAAGGTTGTCCAATTTACAAATGAGTGCCATTTTTATCGACTCTGCTCTTCTTCATGGTTAAAACGAAATTAAAGTGCTATTTCCATATGTCATTTTAAACCCATTAAACAACATTCGACTTCCACTAATGGCACCCTTATAATCAATGTAAGGTTTCTTCAGTAATTTATTTTTCCCTTCTTTTTGAAACACTTTCAATATGATGATAGAAAAAGGCTTTAGAAACTTGTCTTGAAGACTTACAACGAGAGTATAACTCCTTCTCAGAAGCTCATAACTCTTTGGAACAACTGAACAGCAACTGGTCAGAACAAAATATGCAACAGAAGACCAAAATAGAATCAATGCAGAAAGAACTCGACGAACACAGTGCACGTCTGGCCGAAGATGAAAAAAACATTCAAGCACAGAAAGGAATCGAAGAAAAGTTAAAGAAAACTCATTCAGATGAGGTGTTGATGAAGCTCACTTTCATTTTGACCTAGTTTACTTACGTAATCCAGAACAATAGGTATTTTCTTATTTTCTGTAACTATATCGCTTTTATTATCCAACTGTGCCTCGTACAGTACAAATAACGCCCAAAAGGAGTACAGATATCTCACCGTATTTGTACCCAAGAGAACCGACAGGTTTTCTCGCATCGCGCAAGCGACGTAAATAAATATTCGCGAAATTCGCCCACACTGAAATAACAATTCGGCGTGTTGGATAATAAATCTCTTATTAAACGTTTTGTTGTGTAG